CAAATACTTCCAAATTCTACAAGAAAGCCCTCCAGATCTTTAAAAAATTGCAGACTTCTTCCAACATATACTGATAATCCCCAAAAGCCTGTGCAAACATACCTACGGGCACCTGTGAGTCGTAGACTACGAGGCCCACCTTAGACCACTTGCCTACAGGGTCCAGATTCATCCCACGATTGATAAGTGCCTGAAAAAAAAAGATATAAAAAAGACTAAAAATAATACTGCAATGCTAGTACCGAAACAAATTACTTATCCATTACATTATGAAGATAGCATTTAAAAGATACAAGATGCAACTAGATGGAAAGAATAGTTGACCAGAGTGACAGAGTATGCTTCTTAAACAAAATTTGCATATATAATTGGCCGTGTCACATCAGCTGCTACAAGAATGCGAATGTTACGTTTTTTTTTACCTGTGCCAGATCCCTCCTCCGTGTCTTCAGTGTATTACATCGTATGGTGACAGGTCTCTGTACTTCATTGGCCTCCAGGAATTCTATTATCTGTGGAAATGAAACAAAATTACATGATGCTTTTTCCATTATCACTTCTGACTAAACATCTAGAATGCACAAACAGCCTTATTAGATTTCGAGAGAATTTTTCTTTTTACACTGCTTACTATTTTAATCATGCAGTACAAAAGGAAAGCACTCACTATCTCTAAATGTTGACAATTAGGATTTGCAAGTGATCAATTATCTGTAGAAATACAGGGCTATCTGAGACACAGATAAAGAATTATATCAACCAAATGATTCAGTTGACTGGTTGAGATCACAACACAATCCAACCTCACATGACTACAAGTGAATGTGTTAGTTGAGACTGCTTGAGAAAACAACACAATTGTACCTCATGTGGAAACAAGTCCAGCAATTTTTCCATAAGGAATGTATTGTAACTGTAATACAGGCACAGATCTCGGATTAACTGTTCCACATACTCCTTCCTTGTCCTGAATAAAATAAAGAAAAATGTGCATGAATACTTCCAACATAAGCTACTATTTACCAAAAAGACCACTTTTTTCATCTTGTAAATGCCCAACTGGCAAAATACAAACAGATTTTTATTTTATTTGGCTATTTAAGGTGGAGCCTATATTTTATAATTATGTCAGAAAATTGTACAAAGAAAGTAGGTATTAGTAAGGGGTCAGCCTTAACTTACCTTCCTTCCTCTCTCCGTGCCTTGAAGTCTCCAAGGACCTGCAGAATGTCCTTCATTCTCTGCTGTACCAGAGCCAGGTCTGGGGGTTGGACAGGTGGGGACAGTTAAGGATCATTTATATATCTATTGGGTAAAATTCATATTGAATTTATTTATAAAATTTTGATATTAAGTTTTTTGAGTGAACTCTGCCCCCAAATCATCTAGACAAAAGGATATCTTCCTTCTCTACTTCCTGTCCACTTGGAAGCGTGAACACGTCCGTTTGGGCGATGTTGGTCTGGAGCTCTTCCTCCGCCATTTTTCTCTCTTTCTCTTGCTTTTTTTTCAGCTTCTTTGCAGCTTTCTCTACAGGTAGCTCCTATAAATTAAGGCAATCATGTTACCATATGTAGCAAATAATTAATCCGACCTCTTTACATTTACCAGAATATTGTGTGTAAGGAGATAGACAAAATATTATTTTTTCTATTTAATTTTCATGAGTGCTATTTTTCAGTGTGGCTTTCCAGAATTACTTTCCATTTTCTCCCCTCCCTATTCTAAATTAGTAAAGTGCATTTCGATGCTGCACCTACTAATGGCACACAAAGAGGCAGTTTAAGAAATTGCTTTTGAACAGACTGAGAAAGGGATCATTAAAATCATGTCAAAAGAGCTATATGAAAAAATATCAACACAGTGGTAAGTAATAATGTATTTCATTGTTTCATTTGTTCATATATTTCTTACTGAACTATACCTCTTCTTCTTCTTCATCATCATCATCATCATCATCACTTTCAGCTTCAGCACCAAAATCATCTGCTGGTATTTCAGCATCACTGTCATCTTCTTCTTCTTCATCCTCTCTACTTTCCTCTTCCTCATCTTCATCACTCCCTGCCTTCTCAGCCTCCATTTCAAACAGGTCGGACTGTTCACAATAAAAAAAAGATTACGTTAACGCTGGTTGGATGAGTTTATGCTTCACAAAGTTAACAAGTAGAGAACCAGTTACAAGGGCCATTCAGAATGAAATCTGTTGATCCAGCTTATGCCCTCACTGATGCCATGGGGACTCTTGCTGAATGCCACCAGATTTACAGGTAAGCACGACTCCTCTTGGTTTCTAACATACGTAAATTATTGTATTGTACTCAACACAGAGATTTTTTTTGAAGTTACTTTTTTATGTTCAACTTGGTGAGTGGCAAGTATATATAATGAATAAATAAATAAATAAATTTATTAAGTCTGTGCTGCAACTTGATTTGGCAAAAAAATCTCTCACATTAAAAGACAAATCCCCAAATCAGCACTCACCCCTTCTAGCTCCTCATCCTCTCTTCCATCCTCATTTTCTTCATCCTCCCCTTCTTCCTCCTCTTCTTCATCTTCATCTTCCTCACTATCCACAGGCAACTTTTTCTTTTTGACTGGCTTCAGCCACTTACTGTTCTCGTCTGTGAATGCCTGGGCCTCATCTGGAATTAAAGTGACATTGCACAGAGTTTAAGAGATGGATCATTAAATATTTGCTGTGTTTAATCAGTTTTCTTACACTTTTAATCAAAGTACATGCTTAATAAGAAGTAAAACCGCTGTTCAAAAGCAAACTTTATTATTATTATTATTATTACTATATATGCAGTGGCAGTTATAACTACAACAATCGATACATAAATCTATAGAGTTTTAAAATCTGGACTAAAGCTTTAAAATACTAAAAATACACTTGCAATAAAAAAATGAGCTCCAACTCACCACTGTCAGCGCTCCCTTCACTCTCCCCATCGCTTCCCTGCAGCTGTTCTCTCTTCTTCTTTAATTCTGTGGCTTTAACAGCTTCCTTTAGTGCCTCCTCTTTCTTAGCCAGTCTCTTCTTCAACCGTTTCTTAGCACGGCTACCCAGAGCTTTCTGCTTGGCTTCACTGACTGAAAGTAATGGTAATGGTAGAAGTAGTTGTAGAAGTGGTAAAAATAGCCACAGTAACATATATTTGGTGTTACACCAACGTTACAACTTCTGCTGTTAGTGTTACTAGTAATGTTTTAAGTGCCGGCAAGTTTACCTTCCTTCCGCAGCTGTCTTGGTAACTCTGGTGGTTTCTGTTTCTTCGCTTTCCGCCCAGGGCCCTTTTTGGGCCTTTCCGTGTCTAAAGCACGCTTTCTACCCATTGGGTAATTTGCTAATCGTGGCTAACAGAGCTTCAACACCGTCACCCAGTTCGTAGCACTTCCATGTGCTAATACCGGAAGCACATGTGAGATACTACCCTGTACGCATGCGCATTCGTGAAATAGGCTAGGTGTGACACATTTTGTCTCACCAACTGCAACGAAATGGAAACGACAAGGGGTGGGCATCTAATGCGAGCATCTCAGGCGCAGATTGAGGCCGTCTTCTGGGTTTTCCCGAAGACGGTTATATTTTCATTCTACATTGACAGGTATCTAATTTTTTTCTGTCGGAAGACGGTCAAAAATGGAGGATAGATCAACAAAAAAATTTGGAAGACTGTCAGGTAATAGGGCCTATATCTGGATCCGCCCCAGCATCTGACATTTGTCTGTCTGTCTGTCTGTCTGTTTCTTTTGTGCCATTTAGGCCCCGTTAAGTTTAAAAAAAACATTATACTGTCTCACACTGTACTAAAATGTATCATCCATTATAGGCCCTACAGTGTGCGTAACAAGAGTACTTATCTACATAAGCAAATTCCCTGAAAGCCTTTATTTCCATTCTATCTCAGCTGCCTTGTGTAGGGCCTACCTGTTGTCATGAGCGAAATTTGTTAAACCTGTATCATTCAACTGAAAGCCACATACCTGTACGAGTAGAGGTCGCATTTTAGTAACAAGATATATCGCTGTTTTTTCTGCGCTTCTAGAAGTCAGATAAAATCATAAATTGGGCTTACTTACGGGGCATCATTTTAAAATTAAGACTGCAGCCATCTTTGAGAATTTCATGACAAGTTTTTTAGTGTTTGAGCAGTAAGAAAAAGAAACTACACACAATGGACAAAAGAAGTGTCACCCCTACTGAACCAGTACTTTGGGGGAGATAAATGACTGTGGAATGATATGCTCCTGGTATCATTTTATTAACATCAAATTTCACAAAAATACCAACAATACGATTCCATGGTACAGCGGTTTTATACTCATTAGTCGCATTATAAGTAGACCAGGCATTATAACTTTGATTACTCTGATTCAGGGGGTGACACTTCTATTGACCAGTGTGTGTACTTATCTATGAGCTGCCTTAGAAAAAATTTAATTTTTTCCTGCTCACCCTATATCTAAATCTACCACAGTTAAATAAAAAAGCTCATCCATTCATTCCTATAAAATTAAATTCTCAATGTGACCCCTTCAGAATGACGAAACCACGACTAGTGAGTTTTAAGTCAACAGGAGGTTGCATATTCAGCGTGTTGGCATAGCAACGTACAGTAACAGTACCTGACATGCATTCATACATGTAAATTACGTCAAGAAGTCATTCAGTGGTTGGTGGGAGGCTAGAAGAATTGATAATTTAGTTGACGAGGGGCGCTTTTCTGTAAACAGGGTCAATAGACTTTTTTAACCTTTGAACCAAAATGTTTAGCTAGCACAGAAGATAATTATTAGGACCGGCAGTTATTTTGTCATTTATTTATTAATTTAATAATTTATTTATTTATTTCAAGGAGTGAATGTTTAAGTCACGGTGTTTTTTTTAAATCATTTTTTGTTTCATAAACCCCAAATGAGGGTCGGGCGTACCCGTTAAACAAACTGTCAATTTTGGCAGCCTTTGCGGTATTATTTTAGGGTCACCTTCAGACATTACCAGGTTAGGAGAAAAATCTAAGGGTAAGTCTTAACAAAACTAAAGATGTTGCCTTAAAATATAAATCGCATTATATTGCTCACACTTTTTCATCTGCGGTTGTTACTGATTTTAAAGTTGGGACGTTTGCACGCAACATTATTTCGCTTTCGTTTTTCATGTCGCATTAAACAGCGGTTAACTAAGAGCTGCAAGGGACTTGTGCATAACATTGCTCAGTATGTAATGTCATCAGTTCACTCCAGCTAAAAAACAAAAAGAAAAGAAAAAAAAAACACTAGTAGGTATTTAACTTGGACATCCCCATAACTGATTGGGGATTGATTTTCCACAGATATTCACAGTTATTGTCTCTATTAAATAGACAGTCATTTTAGTCTGATGTCGGCCAAAATGTCCACAATAATAACTGCGGCTCGGTAGAGGGTACCCATAACTAACTAAAACTCTGGATAGCACGGGACATATCCTGCTTTTTAGAATGGCAAATATGGAGATTTACCGGTAAGAGGAGTGACTGAAATGTTTGGAGTCTAGTCCTTGAGTGAAGGGAGTAAATTTTTTTTACAATCCTGTAGGCGTGTCGTTACCCTCTGTTTATCAAAAAAAAAAAAAGGAAATGTCTCAAAAATGCCCAAGAGGTCACGAAAAATACACAAGTAGAAGACGTCATATCTTACACTTTACTTCGGAGATATTTCTTTTAAATAATATCTTTCTTTTTTCTTTTCATTTTTTTTTGGGGGGGGGGGGGATGTTCATATTTCACAGATTGGCATTTTCAAGGTGTGACTTTTAGCTTCCATCTTGGACATAATTACGTAATTTTGTCCATGCTTCCATGGACATGAGGACCTTTGCTAGTCACTTTTTCTAANGGGGGTAGGGGTGAGAGGGGTTCTTAAGCTAGCCATTTTCTTCACATAGTAATCACACACCTTAAGCAAAAAAAAAAAAAAAAAACTCTGTCATCTTGATTTACATAATTTTTAAAAATCAAATGAATAAAATAACACATGTAGTACAGATACTACACATTGCATTTTATATGTTAAAACATGCCCAATCTCTATACACGTGGTGGTAATTGACAAACTCTCTGTATCTGATACGTGTATGTAAACATCACATCGAATACCTAATTGGAATTGCATGCAATGAAGAGTGAATTGGTATCAATGCAAATAAATATCACATGCTTGGATCTGTTAAGGTTATTTTACATTTATTTTGAAACTGATGTCAGAATTAAATGTTTGAAAGCACAACCAATCAGTTTTAAAATACGCATGTAAGCGAGCGAATTATTCATGTTAGCTTTATTTATTCTGCCTTGTGAAACTGCATTTTATATTTGCTGTTGATATCATTCTGACCTGTTTTAACATTTAACATGTTTGTCTTATTCGTACAAAATGTGTTATTTTTTAAAATGTCTTCCGAGTAAAGTTAATGCAGTTGTACAGTACACCTTTCATCCGAAGCAAGACATACTTTGTGATGCTTTCATATTTCTGAAAACTTGGTTTCGTGATATTGGGTAACGTTTTCTGGTGGTCACACAAACTAAACGCCCTATCTATTTATCCACGAAAACATTGTTTTTTCCGTCGTTGATAAAAAAGAAAAGTTGCCCTTTGTTGTCAAGCGGAACAATAACTTTATGGCGCTCAAGTCGGATAGTTTGGAAATCTTAGATTTTAGAAATAATTTAGTTACTCCGGCTAATTCTGTACATTTTGTACTGTGAACAGCGGGATAA